GGCTCTGTGCTATGATTGTAACGAATACGTACATGTTTACATTGCTCGACTACCGCACCGACGACTGTCTCTGCCCTGTCTGCCCCGGTAGCCACAAGTTCACTGCCTGCCACTTTGCCTGCATCCAACAACTGATTCGACGCATCCTGGTAGGCCCGAAACTGCCGCCCATTGGCCCTGACCTCCTTCAGCAATTACAGAAGTGCCACGACTTCCACGGTATCTGGACCCTCCACGAACACCTTGGATCTTATCTCCAGCATATTGAAGAACCACCGTACCCTCACCCGTCCCTGACACATCAACAGATGTTCCCCATACCCCGGCTAATCACGCTGTTGAAGTACTACTTCCAAATTTCGGTTCGAACCAAATCATCGCGCTTGTTGGTTCCGCCTATGATACTTCCGATCCAGGCCAGCCAACACATACCGAATTCATCCGTGGTCTGGTGCGGCATTGGCTTACCCCCATCCTCGCTCCTCGACTGGATTATGATGGATAACCTGGTCCTTCTCGGTATTTCGTACTCTGTACTAACCCATCCCGCCGCACTACACGGCGCAGACCCGATCCGTACCACAGAGATGGGTACTCTACTTAGTAGGTCAGCAAGCGAATATATGGAACATTCGATAGGGATAATAATATTTATTTCAAAAATGGTAAGTATGTATGATACAATGTATGAACATATGGTATGGCTCTCATAGTCGCTGTAGGGACCCTCCCAAACAGCGCGCGAAGGCAGTTGATCCAGTTTTCAGACATTCCAGCGTGACAGTACCCATAGGCGTGTGAGAGCGACCTTGTCGTATGCATTGGTTATGTCCAGACAGACGTCGTTCCACTCCTCTTCTGACTGTGTCTCAGATTCCATGGCGGCAAGTGCTTGGGTATGACATGAGTACCGTGATTCGAAGCCAGCTTGGGTAGCATGGGTAGCAGAACCGGGGTGGCTCGTAATCAGATTAAGAAAGCACTTTTCAAAGATGCGTAACAGTGTTTGTCAACACCGGCCCGAATTGACTCAGCGCATATCTTCCAACGGTCGACTCACTTGGCCCAAATCCATGAGTATTGTTTCATGCAGACCAATCCAATATAATAAATTCCATGCACGAGCTTATCTTTAGAAAGCAAAGCCATGATGAATGGCTCGTTGTTCGTTCCCTCTTTCATAGCGTCGGTTGAGAAGTGACGGCCATACCATGAGTCCACTAACCATATTGCTACTGTAGTAAGCTCTGCATCAGTAGTCTATGTAGTTCAATAAAAGGTTGTGCTCATTACTATTTTCAATATTTAAAATTGAAATACCTTAGTTGTATGAGATACCAGCTGGGAGTTGTCTACCGACGAGTCTTTTTCTACGAATTCTTGGTCAATAGCTAAAGAAGGATAATTATTTTCTTCTTCATCATCACTGCGTATGTCCAGACACGCATACTGGTCCATGAATCCATCTTCGTCAATGCGTCGACCTGCATTAACTGTAGATGTATGTATACAATTTGAGCATAGTTTCTGGACACACACACCTTCTAAACGGCGAACTTGTGCGGTGAAAGGCTCGTCGGAGTCCTCGTCATCATTGTTCTCAGCAGTCCCAGGCACAAAGGCTCTAGAACTTATGAACTTACGCGCATCCACATCTTTAAGTGCTAATGTTTGTCCAACTGTGCCTGTTATTAGTAGCTGTCTAAGATTAAACCAATCATTACAGCGCTGGGACACAGTGAGAATAATGATTGTTCGTAGCAAACGAGTTTCTAGCTCAACAATTTCCTTTGAACGGTCTAGCCCCGCTTCTGGCCAGAACAGTGTGCTTGTGATAATTGCTGCAGAAGGACGAGGTCGCTTGACGGCGACAAATGTGTTCTTTAGAGAAACTGTTTTGGGATAGTCTACGCACATAAATCGCAACACATCGCAGGGTGTATTATGATTCTCTCGCTTACGCGGCATTTGCCGCACAGCGAACGCTACTAAAGTAGACTCTTTGGACACAGTACTCTGCGAGGTTTTAAGCGTGGACGTAGCACTTACAACTAGGTCGCCCATTATTGGTGCATCATTGACAAGAAACCGAGTTGGATACTTGTGTGATGTTTCTATGCTAGCACCCACCCATGGAAAGCCTCGCCACATTTTGCTGTGTACTATGACCACTCCGCCAAGGCCATGGTTTCCCATTAACTTCCATAGATGTCGCTCACCGTAGCCTCTTTCGGCCGATAACTGTAAATAAACAATTACTATTGCCAGAATACGTATATTAAATGAATAAAAACACTTGAAAAAATCCAACATACTTGTGCAGCACCCGTGGTGCGACGGGAAGTATAAGCTGTGTACAATCTGACAATAATTTTTTTGTTGCCTTCTTCTGTTTGTAATCGCGTTCGTGGAAACGCACAAGTAATAAGGAATAGAATACTGCGCACGCTATGGCTTCGGATTTGAATCACCACGTCTTAGATTTTCTATCAGCCTTTGACTTCTTGGGGATGTCTTTGACTCTCGACCCAGTCTGCTCGCTATCCAAGGTTAAAACAATACTCTCTGTTAAAAAAAGCCTATCACTTTTTGCAAAGACTTCGTACTCGAATTCTCGTATGTTTTGTACAGCGTTCCATCAATTGGGATGGTCTACTGGATTATATCCCAGCATAGACTTAAAAATGAAGTTGTATCTTTCTGTGCCTATTACTGCGTCTTTGGTGTCCTCATAACGTGAAGCCCACATCTACTAAGGCCTAGGAGTCCATATGTGAAGTGCTGGGCAAAAAACGCCTTCAACTCCTACAGTCTTCGACATCTACAAGTCGAAGATTGTCGGAGTTGTTGTTTTGGCGCTCTACTCTAATTGAAGCGTTAATCCAAGACAACAATTCGGGAACAATGTCTTCAACTAACATCATGAGCACAGACGCACCATCCACTTGTGATTCCTCGTCCCTTTCTAGAGCCATACTGTACATTCGCTCCTTCACTACACGTGCGTGAGCGTGTGCCTTATTCCTTGTGTGCTCGTTAATAAAATCTCTCTCATATTGTATATTGACGGCGTCCGTATAACAGCCTGATTCCTTCTGCTGTTTCTCTGTTAGTTCAGGAATATCAGGCAATGACAGAGATTTTGCTCTCTTCTTAGTCGCACCTGGAATGTCGTTTGTTTTAGGGTTTTAGGGGTTTTTAGGGTTTAAAAGTTTGTTTGCCTGTTTTTGTGTTGTGTTGACTTGTGCAGTTGTGTCATCGTTATTGATATTGTCTACTACATTCGCTACGTTTAACGCATCCCTTATTGCATATACAGGTGATTGCGAACACCGCTGGCATAACGCTGACGCCCCATACCCTTCTTGATCCAATGTTATAGAACATGGCGTAATGGGATGGACTCTACATAAACATCTAATACACATATGTGGAATGTCCCGCCCTAAAGAACAAGTAATGTAGTACACTTATAATACTGTATTAGTTCTGACCATCTATCAACAGACGAGCATTCCACGTGTACAGTACTTTGACATAAAGCACATACTGTTTCTCCCTCAGTTGGTTTCTCACAAACACCGCAGCTGTGGGCTAGCCCTGTCGCTGACATTGACTGCAATGCATTATAGTATTCCTTGTTGTGTGGTTGTTCATGATTATGAGAATCGTAATCCTGGTGCATACACTTTGTTATAATGCAATGCAATGTATGGGTCTATTGCATGCAGTGAATCGATATCCATCGATTCACTATTGATGTCTTGGATTGCATCGCTGTTGTGTTCATTATTGTTCGCACTATAGCTTTCTTGTTGTCTGTTGTTAAAAGGTGGTGGCCTTAGCTCTACACCGGCGCTTCGTGCCATTATCAACAGTAACACATAGTCACACTCACTCAAAAATAGCGATTATAGTAACGTGCATGCGTACTAAAACAACTCATATACATGCGTTATTACGGTGATTAAACCCAAAATTTAATTCCAGTTCGATTCCGATAAAAATCAATGTCGTAAATTAAACCATTCTATGCGTAAACGGGTGCAATAAAAAATACGACAGAGAATACTGCGACTCGCAGTATTCCAAAAAAAAAATATTTCGGGCCAAAAATTCAGAATACCGCGAACAGAAGCATTCTTTGACACTGGTGATATATATATATAGAGTTGTGAAAAGCGGAGATGGACCACAATGTAATAAGCCGGGCCTCCACATTAGACTCTATGTATAAACGTACTCTTAAGCAGTACGCAAATTATAAACGTACTCTTAATAGTACGAGGAACTTAAGTTTCCTAAATGTGCTCTTAATAGTACGAGGAACTTAAGTCTCCTAAATGTGCTCTTAGTAGCACGAGGAACTTAAGTTTCCTAAAATGGTTTTTAGTGGTTTTATTAATTAAACCTTTTCCATTTAACATATCAGATATTTGGATGAGGCCATTAAAAGGCCTCAGTAAAATACCAAACATAAAAGAGTTGGTCTAGTTCTATTATTAGAGCTTTATTTACTTTCCAACTTTATTTATATCTGAATACTTCGGTAACGAGACGGCTCAACCAAATATAGGTTTCTAGGGACTATTAACGTTACCTAGTTGATCCTCCGATAAGCCAACCAGATGTGCCAGTATGATGAAGGCTAAGTCGGTAATTCTTGATAGTGGCAAAGTATTGGTTAAAATAATATTTTGACATGTAATAACTGTAAGTGTATGTACAAAGCATGCGAACGTACATATATATGTTCTTATGTTTTCATGTAGGTGGGCCGTGTGTGCGCGTCTGTATGATTGTGTGCATCTTTATACATATATGTTTATATATGTGCTCACATACGGCATGTGAGGGTGAGTGGGTGGACCGTGTGTGCGTGTGTGTGTGATTGTGTGTGTGTTTACATATATATGTTTACATATGTGCTCACATACGGCATGTGTGAGTGGATGGGTGGGCCGTGTGTATGCGTCTGTGTGATTGTTTGTATGTTTACACAAAATACATTTACATATGTTTACATAAATATATTGTGCGTGTATGTGTGTGCGTTGTGTGATTGTGCGTGTGTGTTTGCACATGTGACTAATTTAAGTGCATGCGTTGTGAGTTTCTATGATCCAGCACTCACACGCACTTACATTGGTCTAACTGCATGTACATATGTGTGTATTTTAGTGATTATCATACGGCGTGCGCGTGCGCGCGTGTGTGATTGCGCGTTGTGGTATGTGTTTCTGCGCATGCGACCAATGTAAATGATCCTGCACTCACACGCACTTACATTGGCCTAACTGCATGTGAATATATGTGTATATTCGTAACGTACCTTTCTTAGCTCCCGAAGACAGTCTAACTGCAGTTCGAAGGACGTATAGCGGGCGGATGTTTCCATGATACGTCGTGTGTAGTTAAGATCATATCTCAACACACGCAGGAGAGTCGTAAAGGACACCTTTCTTCCAAAACGCTCTGTGACTTTAGTTTGATGTTCATTTAGATAGAGCGCGAGATTCTGTGAGTATCATTCTTTCACTATATGAGTCAATCGTGTACATCTTAATCTATCTGATCGTGCCTGTCTTTGTACGAGTTCTACAAGGAAATGGCGAGCCTATTATTTCGAATCTTGTTACGAATCCTTGTGCACTTCTCTCAGATACGTGAAATATTAGTCGTATATCTTCCCAATCGATGCTATAATAGTAACGAGCTATAACTACAAGCCATGAAACTTCAGCTGATATCATTGTGTGTGTTTCTGTGTTGTTGTTTTGAAATATTGTCAATGTTCAAATATTGATTGTCGAATATTTGTTCATTTGAGACTGATTTTCAGACAAGCTTTGGTACCGGCCCCAAAGACCTAGCAGACCGGCTTGTGTGCACCTAGAGTCCCAGAAAAGGGTTTTGTATTCACCAATCATACGGCGCCATTGATTTTCCTTTGCCAAGAATTGTTCATCGTCCGTGGTGTAGGATGAGGATATCAAATTGGAAGTGCTGAATTATAGAATCTAAAAATAACTTGATCCAATAAAATTTCAAGCTCGATATTTTTTTTATAATTCATACAATAAGGAGCGCACTCCGACGACAAATTTTCCAACATGTTGCCTTGAGGCTGAGACTTGTTGACGGGCGCTAACCTCTAGGGGTGACTGCCAAAATATCTGGAATCGACAATGTGTCATATATAAGGGCGGGCAGAAACTAAGAGTCCAAGAGACCAAGAGTCCAAGACCCCTATGACGTATGAAAACGTAGTACGTTTTACGTTAACGGATCAATTTGAAAGCGTATTTACGTATTACGAATAGAAGTCTGGTTGAGACCAAGAGACCTAAAAAAAGCAGTTGAGACTGTTTCTCAAATCTTCTTGCAATAAATAAATAAAAACAGTACCGCAATTCGCACCGACTGCACACTCAGTGCACAGTGTACGTCATCAGGAAAGTCAGGTTTGACTTCTAAAACAAAATGAATGCATTTAAACATAGCCTACTAAATAAAACAATTTAAAAAACAAAACAAAACAGTTCCGTAATCCGCAGTTCCACACCGACTGCAGTGACAGTGTACGTCATCAGTAAAATCTGCAATTTTTACTAGAGTTTGACCCAGAGGTACCTTACAAAATTCGATCTCATTGGCACTTAGACGACATAAATTCTTCGTTCTGACGAGTAATAAATGTATGCTTATTCTCATCCTGATTCGACCATTGGTTAAAAAGTTATAAAGGGTTCCAGTTTGTACCAGAACTGGGATAAACTAACCATACGCAAGCGTTATACAAGTCCATCCATACCTAACAGACCTTTCTGGCATTATAGCATACTACTTATGGAGGGCCATAAGTGCGCGCATAGCGAGTCTGGACGTGTATTTTGGATACCTCATATTCTAACCAGTAACTTTTGTACCAGCGAGAATATGAGGTACCAAAAATACAAGTCCAGACTCGCTATACGCGCACGACATAGTGTTAGGTATGGGTGAACAGTATGATGCTTATATTTGGCTTGAGAGTATGACTCAGTTCTGGTCACATTTCTGGTTATCTGGTACAAACTGAAATCCTTCATAAACACTTTTGAACCAATAGTCCGATCGAGATAAGTCTTAAGTATGCGTTTATTACTCGTCAAGACAAGAACTCGCTAAGTGCCAATGATATTCATTTTTCAAGGTACCTATGGGTCAATCTCTATAGTAAAAACACTCCCTATCTGGCCCTCTCCGTCCAAATTTTTATGTTATCCGGGCCCTATACAAACAACTATTTACAAACCATACTGCTTGTTTTTATTATTAAACAAAACACCTCTTCAATTTAAAAAACAAACAAACAAATTATGTCCAATTTTGAAGGCTAAAAACATAGCCCTGAGCCCTCATTGACACTAAAAATATGTATTTATGTAAATATAAAATAAATAACAGCTTTGAATTGTATAAAATTGCAGCAGCAAGAGCCAGCAACTCCCACACACACAATTCACAACTCACAACACACAACAAAAGAGAAGCAAAGAGTCCCAGACTCCCAGACCCAAAACTCCCAAGTTCAAGAGTCCCAGTTACTGCGAGAGAGTGAGTGACAGTGCGAGTCTGTGTCTCACTGTGACAGTCGCAGTCTCCCACCACACACCAGCAGAGAGAGACTCAGACGGACCAGCAGATCACCGGCGTCCCGAGTCCCGACTGCAGAGTGAGAGGACCAAAGTTCAAAGTCTTCATGTTCAATAGCTTCAATGACAATTAGAGCCTAAAAATAGAGGGCCACATATTTTTATACAAAACACACCTTTTTTTAAGAACGACTGATGAGCCGAAATATTATTGGTTTATTGTTAAAAAATATATACAAACTTTCTCGTCGTCTAATAATAAATATAAAAAATCGAGCCAGTAAAATGAATTTGAAGGCACTGGAAACTTAAAAAGAAAAAAAAGACGGAGAACCAAAAGGCAAAAAGTAACCGTCAATGTCAACTGCCGGCTTCCTCTTTGTGTGTGAGTGTGTGTGGCTGTGTGCGTGTGTTGTGTGACTTGAGTGTGTGAGAGAGAAATGAAAGGGCATTCTACACAGGTCTTAAGAAATACCCAAATATACAACAGTATCGTGTATTTGAATATGTGTATCTGAACACAGAA